CAATTTTTTTAGTCACTTTCATTGCGCGAGACCCTAAACTAATATCTCTGCCTATACAAAAGTTGATTAAAATATACCCTTTAATTATAATCTATATTTTTAATATTAATAAATAATAGCAGGGTTTATATATTTTATTACAAAAAATAAACGAAAAAGGCAATGAGGAACGAAGCAAACTCCATTCAAAAAGGATTTTTTTCAACACTGGTTTTGCAAATAAAAAATAAATATAAAGTTAAAAAAGATTAAAATAAATCCAGTTTTTCGGATAGTTCCAAAAATGTTTTATTCGCTTTGTTTGATAAATGAATAGATTTAATTAAACAAAATTGGTTTTGTACAAATTTTAAGGAGCAAACCTCCTCATCCTCCTAAATTTTCGTCAGTTAAAAAGGTATCTGTTTAGTGTTGAAAACAATTCCAATATTGAGCATTTATTACAATAAATTTGGAGTTTAATGTGACGTAGTGGACACTTCAAATGCTGCCGAGCTCTGAAGTTAAGCTTCGCCTGCCGCTGTTATTTGTCGGATGAGTTGACGTCAAATTTAACGGCAATGAACACTATGTCCCCTGGTATATAAGGCAAACGGGAAACCACTGTACTTAGTAATTGCCCAAGATACACCAGTCCAATCTTAAAAATTGGCTAGCATAAATCAACTTAATGGTTAAAAAAAAATGTACAATAAATTTAGTGCACTCAAACTTAATATAGTTGGACATGCATAAATCTATCCAGTTGCAAAAAAAAAAAAAAACATTAGTAAAACAATTAAACTGAAAACAAAAATTATGGTTTATATTCATATTATAATAAGACGGTCTGTTTACTAAATAAATGTAAACAAGATATCTACGAAAATTGCGTACATATCTCCTATGTAAATAAACTATTACGAGTAAATTTAAGAAATTCATTGATATAATTATCTATAAAGATTATTATTTTAATTAAATTATGTAAAACAATAAATTGCATTTGAACACATTCTATTCAATTCGTCTTATAATTTTAAAATTGTTTAAATAGTTAAACTCTGTTGATTGTTTCTATATAAAAAAAATTAATGTGCAAAAAAGAAAAATATTTTCGATTTGTTTTTTATTTTACAAAGTCATAATTTTTAGCATAAAACATTTTTTTAACTGTTGAAACATATTAAAAATATATATCATGAATCATAATGGTTTATAAATTATAATCAAGTATTATTTATTAATTCTAAAGAATTTATTGGAATGTATCTTGCATATTGTTATAATTCAAATAACAAAAATTAATAAAATAAAAATAAAGAAATTTCTAGGGTATTGGGCTGTATATGGTGAGAACCTGATGTTGTGGTTCTATCGGGGTCGTATGGTTCGAGGGTTTAGAACGACAAAAACAAGTAGATATGAAGAAATAAATGCATGTCCTCTTTATTAAGCAATATAAGCTAATAAATTTGTAAACACCTTTAATAGAACACTGAGGCAACCGGGCAGTAATCCGACCCTCGAGACCCTGTAATGTATATATATGTATAAAGTGTGAACAAATTAACAAAATTACTCTTGATGTTAAAACAGATTATAGATCTATTGCTTTATCGTTCTTTACTCAGATTATTAACTCTAAATAATTGGGATAATATAAACTGACTTACTTCGTGTTCTGCAATATCCAAATAATGCAATGCAGTATTTACCAGAAATACCAATTTTTACTCAATATTATATATTTACGATACCAATGTCTTTATAGAATAAAATAAGTTTTAAACACAAATAAGATATGCACAATAAAATAACTCAAACGGCAGCACGGGGCCGTGATCAAAATATAAAAGCAAGAGTAATTCATAAAAACGAACTGAAGTCTCAATGGATTTCAGTGCTTTTTATAGTATTAAAAAGGTACCCCCATATCCAGTGATATTGCCGTTTGCGCTATCAATGATTACATTTTATTGTTTTAAAGTATACATTACATGATAGTTATATTAAATAGCACAGTTAACAATGGATGAGTTGACATATATGTAAATAATAAGAAATTGTATTGAACAGCGTATTTGTAATGACAAATAAATTATTTGTTTGTTTACAAGTTATTTAAAATACAGATTATACATCTTTCATTGATAATTGCGAGATGCGTAATGCAAAGCATTGGGCATATCACGACAATATGTCGATTATTCTATAATTTTTTTTTTTACCACAAAAATATGATCAACTGTAATAAGGAGGAAATAAAAATATTGTCAGCAATTAAACGAAAAAATATATTTTACTATTCTAAATAATTATTATTAACAAAAATTATACAAATAATTCAAAGTTTGTTTTTGTTAAATATACATAAAAGAGCTATTAAGAAAAAATATAAAAATAAATTTAAGATATTTGTGTCTTGGGTATATTATTTATACATTTATAGCTCTCAAAGCAATAGCCTCAATAGCCCTTTTAAAGTGAACAAAATTATCATTATATTTTTGAAATGTCTATATTAACTATTGGGTGTATAAATTTTGAATACATAAAGTGAATAAGTATTAAAATGTTTGTAATTCAATAAGTACTTACCCTAAAGATATATCAGTTTATTAGTATTAGTATTTTAGAGTATGAGTCTATTGTTAGGTCTCCTTAACATAATGGCGAAATTTATAAAATAGAACCTATACAACAAAATATTTTACACTTAATTTCTTATAAATTGAATAAAAGTTACTTGTTAACTAATAAATTACGCATTGAACTAGGTGTTCCTGTTCTATTTTCTAGAATTAATTTTAATTATGTTAGTTGGATATATATTGTGTATATTATATAATTTATTAAATGGTATAAATGATTTCCCTAAAATTTGGGGCAACATATAATGTTTAATATTTAATGTTTTATACATTTCTGTTCTATGCTTTATTATTTTAATAAATAAACGTTTTATTACTTCAAACACCTTCTTATTTTCAGAAACCAAATTTTAATTCGATATTAGTATAAGCAATGTCATTTTACTATTCTTATTAGAAAATTTTATATAAAAGATATTTTCAGTATTTTCTAAAACCTGTCAGTTTTCTAATCAACAATTTATTTTATTATAAAAAATATGGTAATGTTGAAAAGACTAAAATTATACAAAGAAGTTTAGAATAGATTACAATACTACTACGTTGTACAAATAATTTTTTTTACAATAATCTTGATATTTACTATTGTTTAAAAAATAAATATGGATTTATTCAATACATATTTGCGAAATAAACATTATTTAACTAAAGAAATGGGCAAAGTATTTATATTAAATAACATATAATAATGTATGTTTGCCATTCTAATAGTGATATGTATATTATCCAAATTTTTTTTATAATACCGCGCACAAGGCTCTATTAAAAAATAATTAATACTTAAAAACTTAGTCATACATTTTTAAATAATCAACATTATACATTATAAGAGATATATTATTTCAAATAGATATTTTATTTTTGTTCGCTTGACTAAAAATTTGTTTGGTTTATATAAAATTGAATTTACCAGTAGGAGAGAGCGAGACAAGTTAAGGCAAGAAAATTTTCTTGAATTAAAAAAACAAAATAATGTTGGCAAACTTTTTATGAAAACACTTTTAAATATATTAATGAAATCATGACAATATTTTCGAAAATAATATAAGTGAACACACGTGTTTTTTTTAATCTGATGAATATCTTTATTACAATTACAATATAAATATTGTTGCTTTACGGCATACGATTTTAACTTAGAAAATAAAATATATATGTAAAATTATTTTTTATTGTAATAACTAAAAAAAACATACAATATAAAAGTATTTAAAATTTGATGTCTTATTTAAATTAGAAGAGTACTAGGGAAGATATTTGAAAAAAAAATAAAATGGGAAATGTTGGTTTTTTCGTTATTTGTATTTAAATTCTTATGTATAAAATAAATTTCTTGTAATTAGTTGAACTACTGGAGGTTCATTCATTTTGGGTGTGGCAACTTTGGCAATTGCTTTAGTCTAATTTATAGTGAAAACTGGGGCTGATAGATACACACATTTGCAGGCAAGCCCGTTCTTTGTTAAAAATAGAATTAAAATAATCTAAGAAATGTAGCAACAACAAATTTTTATTCAATAAAAATGACACTTAATATTTTATATTTAATTATTATATTGCTATAAAAATCCGATTTTAACTGTCTTCCTCTCTGTTATCCATAACCATTATTTGATAAAACACAAATTCTTACTCCATCGTTAAATTCAAACTACATAACTAAAACAACTTGAGCCTCAAAATAAAATAAAAATAATTCTATTTATTTCATTATAATGTTTACACTTAAGTCTCTAATATATCCTAAACCTTTTTATGTGTAATTTCGAAATTTACAAATGTAAGTTAAGGAAAATCAATGTTAATAGTGTCTTTGGTCTTAGTTTTAACAGCTAATATTAATAAAATTGTTACTAAAATTTTTTATATTATAATTTTATAAGACATTTTATTTAGTAGGGCAATGTGGTCCAAAACGGGCATCTTACAGTTAAATAGCAATAACTTACAACATAATAGAGTTAGAGATAAAATTAACATGAATCAATCACAAATCGTGTGTAATTTACGTGACCAAAATTCTATTTTCAAAAAATTATTAATAAATGAAGACATTTTTTTTAACATGAAAAATTTTTCACTTTGCCCCATAGTTGGAGAAAATTAAAATGTACAATTACATTGATACATTGTTAAATCTTATTATACATAATTAGATATATTAATGAAGAAGAAATTATAAAAAAGTGTTAATCTGTAGGCGACTCTAATGAGATAGATATTTACAAATTTTAACTTATAATAAAAAAGACATTAAAAATGTATCTTTGCTCCTTGAATTCTTACATGTCAGGCAACTTAACAGACATTGATATGGTTACCTTCTTATCATTATGCGGTTGGTCGCTTGGTCTCGTGAGCTAACTATACCGACTTTCGTGTATCTCGGGGATCTTAAGATTATACTTCATAATTAAAATTAGTTAAGTTTTTGTTATTTAATTTTAACCGCATTATTTATTTACACAATTTGTGTGTAAAAGTTTGTTTAACTATTTAAAATTTTATACATTAGTACTACAAATATTTTATATTACTTGTTACTTGTTAAGCATGTGGTCGGCTTAAAAAAAATTGTATTAGTCATAATTTTAACTTGTTTTTCTTACAATGTCTGACTCAACTGAATCTGGATTTAATTTTTTGTCGAATTGGAAATTTGGTCTTGCTGTTTGCGTGCCTTGTTTTGCCGTTGGACTTGGTGTTACTTATTTTATTTACACGAGAAGAGGAGAACACAGAGATAAGGCATTATGTAATGATCATGTAGCTATTAACATTAAAAGTGTGAAAAAAGCTGAAAGCAATGGAACCGTACAAAATGTCATAAAAGATCCTAAAAAGGTAGGTACATAAAATATTATTAAGCAGTAAATATTAATTAATTAAAAATTAAATGATTTTTGTAATTTCTGTAAAACATAATCTCACCTATAAATATTGGTCTTCAAGATTTTATAAATAAATAATAAAATATTCTTGTATAAATATTGCCATAAATGTAATATTTATATTATAAAACTTAAAACAAATTGATTTAGGAATTGGTTGAACAAATTGAAGATTTCAAAAAGAAAGGAAATACTGAGTTTTCAAAAGGAAATTATGATGCAGCTATTACATTTTATACCCAAGCCTTGTCTATGTGTCCGGATTCTGAAAAAGGACTGTTATCTGTTGTTTATCAAAATAGAGCAGCAGCTTATAGTAAATTGGTAATTTAATTTAATTAGTATTACAAGATTGTGAAATTCAGTTCAAATAATTTGTTATGTAACCTTGTTAATGTTGTTGTTTTTTTTTTTGATAAAAAAATAAGTTATAGAAGTCATAAGTTATAAAATGAAATACTACTCTCCACTAATTTAAAAATCTATACTAAATTTATTAATTAATTTTTTTTAAATAATTAAATTATTGTATGATTTAGAATAATCATGAAAATTGTGTCAGTGACTGTAGTAAAGCATTAGAACTAGTTCCAACTTACAAGAAAGCTTTATCTCGTAGAGCAAGAGCTTTAACTGAGTTAGGAAACTTTAAACTAGCATTAGAAGATATAACAGCTGTAATAATGTTGGATGAATTCAAAAATCAATCTGATTTAATGTTTGCAGATAGCGTCATAAAGGGCTTAGGTAAGCTCACATATTTTGGCTTGCTTAAAAATAAAATAAATCAACTAAATTATAAAGAAACAAAACATTTTTAAATGTTGTAGTCTAATTAAATATTAAAATGTAAATTTAGTTCAATGAAATAATTAAGATAACTTATAAAATAATCTTAATATAATTATTGTTACAATTTTATAAAATCATATGATCCTAATGTTACTAATATAAGGCAAACATTTCTGGATTGAATTTATTGTGAATTATTACGTTTTTTATACATATTTTATATACAGAATGTCTCTCTATGTTTTGACAAATCCATATATATTTCTTATGGCAAATCATCAAAACATTGGGGGACATCACAATGTTGTATTTTTAAAGAACACAATTCAAGAACTATTTACAAGTAAAATACAGTATGTTCAAATATTTAAAACAAGAAATTATTATATTATATTTATAATGTTTAAAAAAATATTTACTATCAAAAATACTTAAGATAAATATTCTATGAAATATTTTTGAATAAAAATTATTAATGTGTAACAATCACATAGTTTTTCTACAATGTGTGTAATAAATTTATGAATTGGACAATTTTAAATAGAATAAGTATGGTAATATTTTTATTTTCCAGGAAAAAAAAACTTAGCAGAGTTTACTAAAAGTCATGTTTTTAATCTACCAACTAAAACATTTATTGATAATTACATGAAGTCATTTTGTGATGACCCTTTCAATGATGAATTCTCTCAAGCATTGTTACAATCTGATGTGAAGTAAGTATAAATAACAAATAATAATTTTTATTTTATATTATATAATTAATTTTTAATCGCTAACTACAAGAAGGGGTTATATACATTTTAATTCATTTAATTCAAAAATTAATTTATTATTTAACTTAAGTAGTTATAAATACAAATTTAAGTGAAAATGTTATAATTAACTGTAAATCTGATTGTTCAATTGTCAAATATAACATAATATGTTTCTGAACGTGTCCCCTTCCTATAATGAATTAACAATAAAAATAAATCAAAATGATTAATTAAAAATGTTTAGTAATGGACTTGAATTGGCTTTAAAATGTATACGAGATAAAAAGTATGAAAATATTGAAGAAGCATGTAAAGAAGAATTAAATAAGACTGATAATAGTGTAGTTCGGAGAACTTTAGCCTTAAATTTGCTTGCTACATTCTCTATACTAAGGGGTAATTATTCTGAAGGCCTACAACATCTCACTGCTGTTATTGAAACTTCTGGTGTTCCAAACAAGGTATAAATGCAATGATTTATTTCAGTTTTATAAATAGCCTGTAAAGAGTAACAATCTAAAACCTAATTTAAAAATAATTTGTAGATCATATAATTATTTTTTAGGATATACAAAAAACTTGAAATAAAACACTCATTTCCTCAGAAATATTTTTGATCTTTGAAAAGCAAAAAAAAATATTAAATTTAAAAAACTACAACAATATAAAATTTAATAATTTTTTCATTTCTTTGAGAAAAACATTTTAAAATTTAATTTTCTTAAATGGAAACTCCTATTTTAAACTAGTTAATATGATAGCAAAAAAAATTACAAACAATTTTGTTCTTATAATTTTTTCTACCTGATTAGCCATTTTCATTTTATGATTATTTAAATATTTGGAATACAATTAAAACATTATTAATTATTTGGTGTTATAATACCAGTGATACCAATAATCTGTATCGATAATAAAAATATGTTATCTAAGCATTCTATTCTGTTCTCTTATTTGTCATATCTTAGTCTAAAAAATAAGTTTCTGTGACAGCAAAGAAAAAATGAAGATTGCTGTATTTGTAATCATGAAATAAGGCTTAACTTAAAATGTTGTGTAATCAACATTGATCAGATATGAAAAAATTGTTTGTAATTTTTTT